AACTTTGGTCGAACCTCACCAACATCTTCATAAAACGCTATTTGTTCAGCAGAAAGAGCAACAAACTGTTGCCGACGACTGCTCAACCAGCGTACATCTCGGAACATCGCTCCTAAGGCCAAAACATTTTATCACTTACAGGTATTTCAGAACATCCTATAATTCCGTACATACCAAATCTAGCCCTCAACACCTGTTATACCGTTTTTGAAATCCCTCCGGGTTGGTAGCGTTAAGCTCCCCATAATACCGTACTGTGTTCAAAAATTCAGTTTAAGTGAGGAGTGCTGTAGTAGCGGAAAACTTCCAACTCATCTCGTTTATGTATTTTTTCATTCTCAGTTTTTGTCGTAATCCGGTAACTGCTGTACACTGTCGAAAATAAACTCCCTCATTTCTATCTTCTGTCATGAAAACTTAGGGAACAAAAACATTCATTACGTCCCAACTGTTATTATGAAAATGATATTCTCCACAGGATATTTATCAAAACTCAAATAAGAATGAAATTCCAATAATATTACTGATTGGGTCAACTTCTGAGACAGTGTATGGGGGCAGACGGAAATAAATGGTCGGAATCAAAGGTTAGACAGTTGAGGAGAAATGAAGTAACGTTTAAAATATAGTTTTACGCAGTGGAAAAGGAAACTAATGAATTGTGGACGTCTTGGAAGGTATTCTGTATGGTAACCTTACAGTTTGAAACAGCTTCGAGACCCATAACTCAAATGAATATTACGACAAATAATTGTATTTTGGAATCCCAAATGTCCAGGCATTCACCCTCACTTCAACGAAATGTCTGGGATACGAATTTCATAACCTTTGTTTGAAATTTTATTTCGACGCAAAAAGGATGCTACTAACGAGGTATTATTATGAATGCTTGAAATTATTTCATTTAGTAAGGGAAGACTGAAAAATATACTTTTAATTCACTCACAAAGTTTTCTCTAGAAAAATACGATGCCCTACTCGACTGCCATCTCTTCTCCAAGTGTATCAATATATTGAATACTGCATTGCGAAGTCCTTTGAATTAGTGCTTTTCTAGCCATTTTTTTAGAGTTTATTCAATGTTCATCTGGGAGCAAGTAATCATTACCGGTACCATGTTCCTTTAAAATAATCCAATCAAATTTTTATGAAAAAATTTGAACTTATTCGTAACAAAGAGATGACTAGCACAGCCAAGAAGTTACCAAATTTGAATCTGATTTCCCTGATTCTTCAGAGTTTACTGGCCGATGCAAAATTAGTAGTATAACGAGCAGTCAGCTTCCCAAATTCCTATGATCATCCCAAACTAGTTGGAAGATTCCGTCTAATTTCAGAGTCTGTAACATAAAAGCAGCACGTAACGATACCACAATGTGATGAAGAGTTTATAATGGGATGAGTTTATTGGGTTATATCGGCACAGTTGCAATAGATCGTCAAAACACAGAGAAGCAAAGCTAAAATGCAGGTGTGATCGTCATTTTGCATAAAGATTACACTTTTATCGAATTTGCACCAAATCAGAACATATCAGATAGACTAATGATATTTAAACTGAATTAGAATCTATATATTTTGTTTCACAGTAAGCTTATTTATTAACATAAAATTTACCAGATAAGTTAGAAAAGAGAGGTTAAAGTAAGAATTTTACCAATGATCTTTTTTTTAAATATTTAATTGCTTTCTATTTGAACGAATGATTTTTTACTGTGCAGGAGCTTACAGGTGTATTTATCCTATCTGGTGATATCTGTCCCTTCCGACCAATGCATATTATATAACCATTCCAAAAACTCGGTAACTTTCCAAGTTAAGCAGTTAATTTCAGCTCAAAATAACGAAAACAACACGACCAAACTGTCATCCCAATAATATCCTGCTCAAATACACCACTTCCACGCCAAAGAAGGGACAGGACACAGTGGAAGAAGGCCGTTGTATCCAACCTTGACTTACTCTATTCCCATGGTCACAACACGATTTATTGGCATTATGGTGGGTTGCTGCACGAAACCACCCACGATGCTAGCCAACGATACAGAACACAGCACTAGTTACTTCCCCCAATGCTATTTTCTGTCATTACTAAAATCAGGATTTGGGTATTTATGTCGGTCTTACTATTATCATTAATACGTTATCACATGAGAAACGGGTAACAAAACAAACATTATACTTATCTATCTTTTCCTTCTGCAACCATTCATCCCTCCCATCGTCTCTGCCAGCCAGGGAAATCAAACTTCTAGCCAAACTAGTTTGTCCTACAAGTATGGAGTGGATACGTCTTAATCGCCATTAACTCGAGCATTTTGCAATTGCGTCGAAATCTGCGGATTCCAAACTTAGCAAAATTAAAAGTTGACTGAATTCGCACCTCATTAAATGAAGTGATCCATTTACTGTTCCGTTATATGAAACAAAAGATATGCCACATTCCGACACAATAATATTTTCAGTGAGATTTGGCCACTGCATTCATTAAACCTTTTACAGTACAATCAAATTCATATCAATTTTCTGTAGAGGTGGAACTCAGATTAGTGTGTATATAAAACTTTTTGATCCCAGATTTCGATATCACATTTTTGGGCTTTTTGCCTATATGCGGTGTATTAAAGAAATGAGCAGAATGCTTGAGAGATGCTGCACACAACTGCTCCCGACTACGGCTGATCCAGCTTGTCTACGCATTGTTGTCGCTGACTAAATATATACGAATTATTGGGAGCACTTTATACATTTATCTTCCTTCCATCCATTAAAATCTAACCTGGTATTTCATGCAGTTTAGAAATGGCTGGGTGGAATAAGAACACAGTACAACATACAGCAACTAGGTTACCACTATATTCTAACCGGAAAAGTCATGGAAGTATCAGCAGACCAACCGGTGAATGGATGTAAATAGACGCCTCGACAGCCATCACACGCTTTTTCTGAAGTAAGCTTATACCAGAAATATGTATTATTTTTTACAACGCTACGAAAAAGGTGCACTGAATGGTTGCGCTGATATATTTCATAATAAAACTTAATGAGTTAATACATCTTCAAATTGAAAGTTTGAATTAGTTACCTTGGGAGGCTTAATATCACACTTCACAACAGTAATGAGAACATGTCTAAACAATGAATTCTTCAATGCAACACTTCACTTTTGAGAGTTGGTCAAGAAATGGGATAAGATGTCCTTCCACATTTCGCCGACAGCAAAGTAGTGAATTCTTCTCTGGACTTTTTATTATTACATCTTGCTACATACCATAACTTTAGCAGTACTGCTTTATAGTAAGAAGTACCCCAAACACCTATTTTCATTATCAAATTTCATCTCTAAGTAAAGACCGTTTTACTGTCTCAGAGCTATGTTTAGCGAGTCTTACTGAGAATGATAACACATTGGAGTTAGATTGATACATCTTTGGACTGCAATGAGTCATCAATTAGTTCAGTGGCTCTTTGTACTATTTTTTATGAAATAATCTTTACTTTGGTACCTGCTTGATGAACCGCACTAAAATTTTCCAATTTTAAAAAATAACCAACGATTCTATCCTCAGAGTATGAGAACATTTGTCGTCATTAAATTTATGCAACTCAGCAAGTAATTGCTGTATTCAAGCTACATCTCCTGAACTCAATACTGTGTGTCCAATAAACATCACTGATCTCTAAGTATTGATGGCGTGTTAAGAAGTGTCCGGCGATATCGAAAATGAAAATCTGAAATTAAAAATACCGATTCCCAAGCAATCAGTTTCGTCTTAAGGATGATTCCTTTCTAATCGGCTTTTAACGCCAGATTTTTGCTAGAGTATTTCAGTCAAATGATGAAGGTAATGGACTTCCAGATACCTGAACCTCACCAGTACTTCAACTCTTATATTTGTTGAAATTAATTCAGCGTTTAGACAAATACAACTTAACCAACCCATAAGGCCATTTGTGAGAAATAAGGCAATAAAATTACGTATAAGGATCAAGAATGTGAATGGAGAATGAGACAATAAAGTGAGCAAGCTGATCCATTAACCGAATGCTTTGAATGTAGCTCATCTCTTGACTCTCGATGATTTTTCCAATTTTGTGTTCCTTTCAAGTCCATTTCAGGACATAGCCTCTTCGCATTGGAACTCTGTACAACCTTTCGGTAATAGTTCAAGATGCACCCCATATACCACCAGAAAATCCGGCACCCCACAGTCGTCGCTTTCCAGTTGTTTTTGGCTTCCCATTATTGAATGGCCTGCAATAAAAACAATCACTTTTCAAGCATAAGCACTTCAGGAGAGAGAGAGAGATACAATCTTAAACTGCCATAAAATTTAACCTCTCACAGTTTATTAGCTCACAAGCTAATTGATTTCCACTATCAGATAAAGATTAAGAAATGAAGATAATTTCACAACTTAAAACTCGATACCACTTTCACTATAAGATTAATCAGTCAGAGCATTTCTCTCGGCTATATATCGTTCTAATAGAAAGAAGATAATGTGAATAGTTAATTTTTCATCAACACTATGTGCATTAGTTCTATCACTCATAAATTTTGCTAAGACATTGTTGCAGTACTTTTTTTACAAGGTCCCAAATAGATTTTGTACAAGATGATTAGACGCAAATCTTGTAGAAGATGCAGAAATCCCAACTTTGAAATGTTAGAAGTATTAGTAAGAAAAAGAAAATTTCTGAATAACCGAGGATCACATAGGTGTATAAACATGGAAAAGAAACTGACTGCATTAAAAATCAACCTTCTGAACACGATGTTAGCCACATAAGGGAATAATTATCTGCTGTACCTGACTTTGAAATTTAACGGCAAAGAAATGACTAATGATAGGAATGTTGGTCATCAGAATGGTGGTGTAATGGTTATGAATGAACATCAGGAAATTATGAAACAACCAGTGACAAATACCATTTGATTTCTGGTCTAATATTACAAAAGTATTTGTGGACAAAGAAGCAATTGAAATAAGTACGTTTTACCTCCAAGATGTTTTCTTGTTGATGCAGGTGCCAATGTAAAAGGCGACAGCAGAGAGCAAGACTGATACGATAATGACAACAAAGGCCCAGTTAGGTACGTGTTCACGGTCCTTCGATCCTTCTCCCATGGTAGAAACTGTTGATTGTCTTGCCCTCACATCCATTACACTTAATAATTCATCCACTAGCTGCTCCGCTTCCCCAGTTCCGTATTTCCCTCTGAGCTAAAATAAATTCTGATATTCCTCATACTGCCATATTTTGCGATCAGAATCGAGGTCCATGCAGTTAACATTTCTGTTCCTTTATAACTATGGCTTTATACCACTAAGTCAACTGATGCCGTACTTGGCTAGCAAAAAATCGTGTATCTCACAAACGTTGAGAAAGCAATTCCTTCCACAAGAATAGGAGACTCCACATACCTTCTTTTAGTTACTTTTCAAATAATCTCTTATCTGAATTTAATTTTCATTCATTATCTAACAGGAGTGAAAGCTCGTTTTATTCTTCTTAGTACCTTTTGTTCTTTCCTTATCACTCTCAGTAGGCTGGCTATCTGACACATTCAAACAACATATTAAAAGAGCTGCTCAAATTCAATTAACTAAGTCCGAAGGCTTCAATATTAGAACCTGAAGAAACATGTAAGCATTACAAAGTGAAAATCCATTTCTGCTTCACGCCATAGTTTTATCCGCAGCATTCTTTTCAAACTGTTACCCTTCATCATCCAAGTACCTTAATGCTATGGAGGGAAAATAAAAAATCTGTAAGCTTGATACATAAAAGAGATCAAAATTCACAATTTTGTTTTAAATTCTAACACCGGTTGACGAAAACTATTCTACTACAACACTTAAAATTAACGTGACAACTAATCTGTTTTCAAAATGTTGGTAGTGAACCATGTGAATGAATATATTCTGTCAATAAATGATTTTCAGTGGCACACCCTAAACAAGTTTGTTGGAAAAGTAATAGCAGAAGAGACAACTCAGGCCCTATTTATTTTCACTCTTCTCTGCGAGGCCCTTCTTCGCCTTGCTTTTTCAAACTTTTTCATTGATTCGCACTCTCCCCTTTCCTGTTATATTTCTACCGGTGTATTGAAAATCCCATAACCAGTTTACTCTTCTTTTAAATTAACACTAAGAATTATGTGATATACCGTTAATTTCTAATGCATAGATAAATTTCCAATAAACTTGCCCCGTGCAAATAGCACAACATCACGCATACGCCCAGGATGGATGAAATGCTTTTAATCCCCCAAATATCTTTTCATTCAAATGTCAACAATTGCAACTTTTGCAGCATAAATGTAGCAGTAAACAGTCTTTTTAAAATCACCAGGACAGTATACCTGACAGATTGCCACTAGTGAGAGGAAGACTAATGGTGAATGATGACATAATATATCAATGACAACGTTAAGAATTTCTGGGCACTGTGGAAATCATGCGGTAAAAACAGCACAGAACAGTGTCATCTAGAAATAAGTCATCTGCTTCTAATATTACTTTCAAAAATATTATTAAATTTTCTTTAAATCTTTCATGAGTAAATATACTATCCGAAGTTGATCTTCAGCAATTTTATCTAATATCTGCTTTCATTCTAAAAAGTTCAAAATGCAATCGCAGATTAGATTGTAGTGTGAGACAAATACCTAGAAATTGCCTGCAACTGCTGTAGCTTCCATTTCATGACTGGTCACATTTGAGCAGTAAAAATTAGTGTTTGATTGCTTCCGTCTTGGGTTGTACCAAATCTTCAGTAATGAATCATATACAACATGTTTTTGTACAATCTCATTTAAATGAAGTGTAAAATCGGAAATTTAATTTCGTTCTTGAATATAGTATTTTATATACAGTATATTTTCAGCGAATACAGCGTATTTTATAACCCGTCATGAAACCATGCCGAAATGATGGACAGACCTACTGATGTTTCTTGAATAGCACACGAACTTCTATCAGTATATATTAAGTCGGAAATGCCATGGCTAGTTCTGTACCTTAACAATTAAGAAAAACGAAACAAAAACAAGGCATGCGAAAGATTACTTCACAATAGACCTAATGTTTCTAAATCAGGTCAACAAACCACTATACTAGAAACAGCAATAATTTAAGAAGTTATATTAATAATAATGACTAATATTATAAGAGTGTCGATAGTAATATTATTATTATTATTATCACTTATTATTATTGTTTTCTTTATTATTATTATCAGCAGCAGTAGTAGTAGTAACAGCAGTAACGGTAGCAGTAGGAGAGCAGTAGTAGTAGTAGTAGTAGTAGTAGTAGTAGTAGTAGTAGTAGATAAAGTGATAAAGTAAGCTGGAGGAGCTGTTGCTATGGCAACAACAGCAGCATGGTGCGAAGGTTAAGCACGTTTGTGATACGCTTTCAAGTCAGAGGATAATTTAAATGGCTCAGCTTTTATATGTTTCAATTATACAACTGGAGAGCATCGTACTGCTGCTGAAACTTAAAATATGTTAACCATCAGCAATCCTGTTGTGTCACTCCCTGGTGATACTTTCGCTACCGGAATGTGGAAGTAGTTTTGGCCAGACGTATGCCTCAATCCCAATCAAATAAGAAAGTCATGAGATTCTCCTTTCTTTCCCTGTCCTTTTCCCGCACTACTGCCAAAAAGAGTCAGTACTCTGAAACGTTCCTTTTTGAGCACCTGGTGAGATCAAAAAACATCCGCATGACTTATAATTAAACCATTCATTTCGTACGACACTTCCTTATCAACAAAATTTAACTTCATCTTCATTAGCATATATATAAGCTGATAACCCTATAACTTGTACTGAACTTTCAGCTGCATGAACATATTTCTAAATTAATATAGTCCAGTCCTCTTTTAGAATACTGCTTGTAGGTATAAACGAAAATTTCTAATTGCTTACTGAGAGCTTATTAAAGAACAGTACTAATGAAACGGCTGTTTACATATTCCAATTTTTATCATTATTTTGTCACCATTTACAGGATCTATTCAGTTGAACGCTTCAATCAAAAGTGTATCTAACAGATTGTGGGATGCCAGAATAGTATAACGTAATTTCCTGCACGTAATCACAAGTTAATCTGCGACGAGAGCCGTCAGAACTATGACCTGGTAAGATCGCAATTGCAGCTGACGCCATAAAGTACTAGTATTGCGACGAACAGATAAAACTGGAATAAGCTTCGACTGATGGAAAAGAACAATCAGCGCATCAAAATGACACGATAATTTGTCTGCCCATTTCACACTCGCCATATCTACAAGTTCGCTCCAGTTTTGCCTCGAACTGCATTCCACCATCGCCACAATCATCGTTCCTCTACAAACAGGTCCACCATTTAATCCAGTGCATACGCCTTTTCTAGCAGAGTTACGTTTGAGAAACAAAAACAAATCATTCCCATCTTCTCTTTTTTAACACTGAGAGAAGGAGTGGTGCCTAAGAATCAATGAACTCTCAATCAACGTTCATATAATTTTATTTATTCAAATCACCTTTTCCCCATAATTTCTGTTGACCGCGAAGGACGCTCAGTCTCTCGCTGGCTCCCATTTGAACATGGTTCAAATCTGAAATTAAATCTATAAATTCAACCCCAACATACCTTACAGGCAAAAATTAAATTGAGCCGAAACATATTAGCATGAATACATGACAGTGTTCAGAAAATAAGCATGAATGAACCATCTTTCTCTCCATTATGTGTATAGATATATGTATTGATAACAAAAATTTCAACATTATGTATAGATAATAAAGAAAAAAGATAATAAAATTTGTATACAGCCATACATTTACATATTTGTTCCCTTATTATCAAGAAACTTATCAAAAATGATGAGGAATATTATATGATAGAAGTAGAGTTCAATTAAAACACGAAAGTTTAAGGAAGAAACCTGGAAGATATCTGCTTTTCAATACTGTTAACTAGATGCTCGCTGTATAGAAAGGGTGATATGCAAATATGAGTCGTATAGTAGGAGCAGCTTGTACATTCTGAATCTATTGCAAAAATTCGTCTTGCATTTGCTGAATTCCAAAACAGTACTGGAGCCACTATAAGTAATATTCGTCTATGAATACATTGCATCCGAAAAATCACCTGGAAGAAGAAAAACGTGTCTTAAAGAACAAGGAAAAAGGGGTGAATTCCACAGTATTCCTACATTTAGTTATCCTCGAATTTATTCCCAAATAGAATGCAATTGAGAAATGGGATGACACACTGCCAAAATCAAATCCCGAGCAACTAGCAGACATGCTGATAAAATTACATATTCATGGGTAAACAAATCTGACGCCTAACTGGAAGTGTGAGTGAAGCTGGGAAGAGCTCCAATAAGGTTGCGAAATAAAAGTTGCCCTCAACTAACCATATCTAACTCTCTTTCTCAAATGATTCCATCATGCATTCGACGCTTTTTCGTCACTTAAAATACCTATAACTTATCCCTTATGTTGCTACAACAAAAACATTCCATCTCAATCTTCGCAGAAGGTATCATCTCCATATATCTCGTGTTAGTTTTCGAGAGCAGTATAGTACATGGAGAAATAAAGTACAAGAAGAGAACAAATGAGATGCCTGTCTTTCCAAGGAATGCTATTATACAAAGCAGTAAAATACGAATGAGCTCAGTGGCACCTTCTCATATCCTTTCAATCATAATTTAATATCATCTTCCGGACATATTATCCACTCCTCTTCCTTCATTTGCCAAAAATTATTGCCAAAAGCTCCAATATTTGCACTATGCATCATCACAACTCAATTTTATGCAAACAAGAAAATATAGAGGAGTAATCGGCTTATTATTCGTAATCATTCCGTTTTATTCCTTCACTCCCCCTCCATATTCCAGTTCTGCTTTCGCTACCATAAACGTCCATTTCTCTAACCACAAGAAGAAATATCTACTACTTTGAAAAAAAATTTAGAATGAGCTTTATTTATCAAGAGTTCAGGGACGACAGAAACTGAAAAATGTTGATTAATAGAAAACATCTATGTGGATAAATTCCGTTAGATAATCACTTTTTGCTTTTACAAGACATAACTGGAAAAACTAATAGCAAAAACTCCCAATTTTTTTTTGAGCCTGCAATTATGTGATGACAACGAATCCTCGCTGGTGACCTGACTTGATTTCATACAGTTAGCAATATTTACAAAGTAAGTAAAAAAAGTGATAACCATTTTAAAGCACACCGAGATATTCCTCTATAAACTAAACACAATTAAAACTAGCCATCCTCAAAGCAAACAAACATAAAAAGTAAAGCAAACCGGACACACTCTGTATATAAAAACTATGAAAGACAACAATAACAAAACAAAAGGAAAAAAAAAACAAATCCCAAAATTATAAGTAAAAGTAAAACAAAAAAATCCCTAAAAAATGCATTAAAAAATCTAGTAAAACTCATTCCATCTTAATAAAAGCAGCCACGAATCAGTCACCTTAGGAAAGCTTTGGATCGAGAAATAAATTCAAAGAACAAGTCCAACATATTGTCCAAAAATTAAG